CCGCAAGTATAGGGTGAAGGTTGGGGTTAGTATTTAGCATTAGGATCAGCAGGTTAACACAAGAGTGGAAATTCTATAATTTTCCATACTTCCCTTTCTACCCAGTCAAGTCTTCCGTTTTGCGCTGGCGTCCAGTTCTCTCGCGATTCTATCTGCGCGTTCAACGATCGAATAAAAATACGAGAAAACAGAGGGCTGTGAACAGTGTACGCTACACCTGGCTGGAAATACTCCTTGAATCCTTGCTTCCAAGAAGAATTATACCAACGTCCTAATATATTACATGGTCATTATGTACATAATTTCATGTGTACAATCGGTGTCGGTAGCTTATTTAATATGAAGTTGATACAAACTTTCCAGGGAGAAAAATATTCAGAGTTCTAGGAGCGGACGAATTCCAAAAGCGAGCATCAGTACACAAGAATCACGCTGACTCCTGACTCGTCAAAAATCTTAAATAGTTCCTTTAATCAAATCGCTTTTTCTTTCTTGCGTCGCGTGTTCCTCACAAGTGTTAGCTTTAGAAAGAAGTCACTTTTAAAGTCGACAATAAAGTAAAATCAGAAGTCTCCTGAGTAAAACCATATATATCCACACAGCAGTATGCTACTCGTGTCGTCACGCAACGTGCTCTCGCGGTCGCGTGACGACTGTAATGACGACCTCCAAGAATCAGTGTAACAACACAAGTGTTCTTGCCTTTTGTCCGTCACGCAAGGCTAAGCTCCATCGCGGCGTTACATTGCCACAAACAAAGGCAAGTATTTTCTGTGCCAGCGAAATCACCATTGGTTCTGGTCTTGCATCTGCTTTGATGAATGGTACAGTAACTCTGCCCTGATTGATTCAATTGAAACACTTACACAATGCAAAACCACCATGACATCATCACTCTTAGCAAGACAAGGAGAGGTAAATTAAAGTGACTTCGGTTGTGATTTTTAACCGAGAGAACAGAGCATTACTGATTGATGCAACCATTGATGGAACCATTATTGTCAAGGTTTCATAACACGCACCAAATGAAAAACCAAAACGATCAAGTTTAAAAAATGCGCCGTCTTTCGAAAACAGCCAAACAAAATTATATTAGTTAATCGGGGGGTTCTTTGCCTCTATAGCTGTCACTGGCACAACTGCTCGAAAACCGGCAACAGAAGAATGTTCCAGGGGGTCAACGGCACGAGAACCAAAGGTGACTGGGTAGCTTACTTAACTAACGGCATGGCAACAATTGACATCTCGAAAAGGTCAATAACTGCTGTACTTCAAAAAATATCTGACTCTGTGACCACATCATGAACTGAGACGATACATCGTTAGTATTTCCGTTTAAAAGCAAGCCATTGAACAATGCAGCTTTTTTTGTAAGTTGACTTCACAGGTGGAAGACTGCGTAGAACGGTCTAAAAAGGTTGCCATTTGCCTAGAATAGTGTCTTTAATGGCGTCCACGTATTGTGCAGGAACCCAGTAGATCCAGTATCTGGAAGCTTCTGTTGGTCCCAGCTGAATGGCCTACAACAAAAACAACAAGACCGTTTAAAGAACTTTAAACAGAGCTGCAATATATATGGGTTGACCAAGCGTGAGGTCAAGATGGCTGGTTATTGGCCAAGTTCTTTTTTTGCGCGTTTTATGAACACGCAAAAAGGGGAGACCAATGTCCAGCAATCTTGTCCAAACAAACTTGGTCAATAAAGGATTTATTATATGAAGCACAATATCATTTTTTTGCGGGACCCAGTGGGTAATCCCGAGCGGGCAAGAGAGCGCCATCTTAGCAGCTCGGGTAGCCAATCACAATGTAGGAATGGGTTCAGCCAAAACCAAAAATGTTATATCTAGGCAGTTTCTACTCATGCGCAATGAGCCAGTCAGAACTGATGCGAATGGTGCCAAGCATTGGAAAAGTGAAAACAGTTTCTTTGATTCTTTCCGTTACACCACTTTGTACGAGTTTGTTTCCGAAACAACAGTTTTAAAGGGCAGGCGCTCCGCGCTGTGCTCAAGTTCGAGCGGTCAGGGTTAGAGCCCTGATCACCCTCACTGATTACGTGATGTTCGTAAGCAAGACATAAGACTCCCACCGTGCCTAAAACTCCATGCCAAAGAAACCGCACGGTGACTGAACTCTGGGTCAATAGGACTCTCAGGCCAGATGAAGACTTGACATGAAACGCTAACCCAGGATTTCGAGCATATTATAATTTCAATACTGAATTGAAAAATTCAGATGCTCGCTGGTGTCAAAAGGTACATATTTAAAAATTTCATACAACAAAAGAGACTATTTTGGTGTGAGTTCGTTGCCTGGAATGAGAGTGTGGGTTCGAGAGGCTTTGCAGCAAACGCCAATTCGCGCGTTCCGCGCTGACATCTAGAGAGAAAAATAGAAACTTGCATGGGCCAATCGAAGCCTAGCGTTTTCTTTACGGCCAATCAGATGGAAACTTTCAAAAAACCAATCGTGTTTTGGCGCGAACTTTCCCGCGCTTGGCACCAGTTACATGTTTCGTTCAAGTTTCTGATTGGTTTAATCCACTGTCCTTATGACGCCATATTCACCCGCTGTGCGATAACTGGGGCAAGGCAGGTCGCAAATTTGATTTCGATCAAACCTTTCCTCCAACATATTCCAACTGGATGGTGAAATCGCTGAAATGGCTCAAACATTTTCACACAACAGTGCTGGATAAAAAAACTACGAGGGAGCCGTTTGAGAAGGGCTTTAAAAGCGCATTTGTGAGGAGATTCTCTTACCATCATATGATATTCATCATGGTCTTCAATTGGTTCTGATATTACATTTTTTATTGATCCCATGGGTATCTTTTCTGTTCGCTCTATATGAAGAAAAAACAAACCGATAATTAGTAACTTTCTATTTAATAAAAAATTTCACACAAAAAACCGGTCTGTATTTGGGTGTGCGTTTGAAGGCTGGAATAAGCGTTTGTGTTCAAGAAGCTTGCAATCGAACGTGCGAGGAAAAGAAAAACAATAATTAAGAACTTTTCATATAATCAAAAGCTTGCAAATGTGGATAGACTGAGACATAATGAAATAGGCTTAAACAAACTCTGTTATTGCCTGGGTAACTCTATATATGTACTGACAGTCTTCTCTTTTTCGGCCAAAGCTGAGAACACTGAACGTGAAATTCCCCGACCACCTGCCCTGCCACGCCCATGATATACACACAGTCCCTAATTTGGTGTTAAAGAGTAAATAAAAATATAGATTCTTTAATGCCTATCAATAACCGAGGTATTTCAGGTATTTCAGAGGTATTTCATTATTTTCATAGATATTTGGCATATACCGTAAAATCTCACGTTAAAGCCCCCCATCCCGGTTATAAGCTCTTCTATTTGCTAACAAAGATATTATTCCGGATATAAGCTCCCCCGGATATAANTTGCCTGGGTAATTCTACATATGTACTGACAGTCTTCTCTTTTACGGCCAAAGCTGAGAACACTGAACGTGAAATTCCCCGACCACCTGCCCTGCCACGCCCATGATATACACACAGTCCGTAATTTAGTGTTAAAGAGTAAATAAAAATATAGATTCTTTAATGCCTATCAATAACCGATAGATGTTTCATTATTTTGATAAATATTTGGCATATACCGTAAAGTCTCACGTTAAAGCCCCCCACCCCGGTTATAAGCTCTTCTATTTGCTAACAAAGATATTATTCCGGATATAAGCTCCCCCGGATATAAGCCCATCTAGTGTATAAGTGCGTTCCTTTTGCGTTTCTTTACAAACATCAAAATTTTTATTCGAAAGTTACAGGCTAATAATAGGGTAATAGCTCTAAAGGTTCTCAGATACGTTTTATCTCGTCGTTCCAAAACATTTTTTTTTCCGCTTATATGTCCATCCCCCCCCCCCCCCCCCCCCCCCCNCCCCCCCCCCCCCCCACCCCCAGTTTATAAGCCCACCCAAAGCCCCTGTGAAGTTATATAAGCCCAGGGCTTTAACGTGGGTTTTTACGGTAGGCTCTTGAATTTTTAGAGACTTTTTACAGGCATATAATTCTTGGTAGACCATCCATAAAGTCGCCCTGTTGTTTGCTTGCTTTTAGCATTTATTTTAAAGGCAGGGTAACGAGTAAGGTGACTATATGTGCCCTACCAGGAAGTTGCTGCTCTTTTAGCTATACTGAGATACCTTTTGTTCCAATCCAAAGTTGATCCAACTCAAGTTTGAATGTTAATCTGACTTTTCCTCCATATTTGTTGTACATCCCAGCAATTGGAACATTTGGTAACTTTTCCTATACAAAAATCAATTAATACAGATTTCATCTCTCACCAGCCTATGGTTGGAGAGGAATGTCACCACAGTACCACCATAAGCCAAGTACCGAAATTTAAACCCAGTCCCATACATGCATAAATCATCATCCCAATATGATAGAAAATGAAGTTAAAAAAATAGCTCTTGGTTTGAGAAACACACTAGAACAGTGGCCCTAGCCAGAGATCCCAAGATGAGGATCATAATGCGCTAATATGATTTTTTGGGGGGGTGGGATTTTAAAGTCAAATTCCAGAATTTTGTAAAATGGATTCAACAAAATCACAAAAGTTTACTTTTTTATTCTTGATTCCTGGCATGATGTCATCTGGTTTTCCTTTGTCTAAAACCTTTTTATGCATCTGAAAATGACACAAATGACAATCATTTCTCAGTGCACCTCCAACAGCAAATCACAAGTAAAATTGATGATTACGATGTACCGTAGAAATGAAAGAGAAATGAAAAAAATATATATGTTTTTCATGTCTTGAACCTTTTGTTTACACAGAGGTTCCTTTGTAGACCCTGTTAAAAATAAAAAGACATTAAATTAAATAATGAAAAGACAGACTATAAATTCATATTTGGTTGAAATTTTTTCAATTTCCTTTGTATCAGATTGACAATGGAAAGGAGACAAAGAAAATAACACTCAAACTGGCCTAAAAATAACCAAAACAAACACATGGCTTCATATGTTTTAATAAACAGGCAGTCACATAATTAATATACATGTATGGTCATCATATGACAACCCTATATGCATTTTGCCCTGAAGCACATTTCAGTATGCAAACAAGGTCATGCCCATTGTAGTCTGGGGCTAGTGGATTTTCCAGGAGGGCTAGTGAATTCTATTTGTCACTTGCCAGATGAATGTGTGAAATTTCTTACTAGGAAAATGTTTTGATTTACAGAATTATTGTGAGAGATGAACTTTTTGAGGGTTAGTGAGAAGGAGTTTTGGGCTAGTACATTACAGTTAGAACTTGCCCAAAGGGAAAGCCCCCAAATTTGTTTTCTTTGCACCCAGTATTTCCAAAAACAGAAAACCCTTTATCCCACCCCTCCCTACCTGAAGTTGTTTTCTCTTCTTTTAAAGCCCCTGGAGGCGGGGGAGTGACTTTCATGACATCATTAATGGTTGAGCCTACAACCATCATTTTTACACCATTGGTGACATTTAATTCCCTTAACGTTTTGCTACCATCCTTGACAAGCCCTATGAAATAAAAGGAAATAAAAATAAATGATTCTCCCCCATGTAAAATTGTTCAGATGCTTAGCTCCCTGTGCAACTGGGAGGAAATGCTTCTCTGGGAATAAATGTTGAAAGGTAATGACCAGCATTGTGCTAAGATTCCCTGAACACATCAACAGTTCTCGTTCACTCTTAAGGGTGGGGACTAAGGCACTGTGAGAGTAAGGTGTCACACCCAACACCACAACACAGTTACTTCTGACAGCACTTGAATATGTCGTGGTTCAATATTACGCTTGGTACAGTTTGGTAATTTGCTTTGTCAGGGGTGGATTGGGGTGGAGGTGGATTGGGTGGCTAGCTTCT